CCAAAGGCCACGTTATTACCTACTTGCTACTACTCCCATTATTTTATTTATTTTGTTTTGTCAGTGGGTAAGTCCTTGGCTTTTTGGTAAACTCCCACCCACGCGCTACATGCTTGGTTAAAAGGAAAACAATAGGGTAAAGTACATAAATGGCCCCCTGACTATAGGGTGCTATTTTTTAAATCCTTTTATTAAAAATTATAAAATGATCCATGATTATAGGCTACTATTTTGCTGAGTCCCTCGACTATTAAAAATTACAAAATGATCATCTGACTATTTATTTATATGTTCCAAACTCATCCTTTTTGGTTAAAAATTTGACGGTCGTCTGAGCTAAACGTTAACTTGTTTATTGAAATATAATAAAATCTGATCCTATAACCGTTTGAGATATATTTTATGTATTGACTCTCTATTTGCATTTTATCGTTGAATTAGTGCTTGAACATTATGTTGTCGAACCAGTACTTGTAAGCAACAACGATTTCAGTAAATATCATTAAAATATGAATTTATAATATCTTAGTTAGTAGTTTAACATCCAGTTCAAACAACCATAAATTTTTTAACATAAAAGAACGAGTTTAAAATATATGAATAGTTAAGGTAACTATTTTATAATTTTTAATAGTAAAACAATTAACAAAATAACGTCATATAATTAAAAGATTATTTTATAATTTTTATTAATCGAAAAACTTAATAAAACATCATCTTATATTCTAAATACCATTTACATACTTTACTAAAAAAATATCAATATACCTATTAAGTACATTAGATGACGGATGACAACCTGTTCAATTATCGCTTATTTAATTTAACTAAAAGATTTCATTTAGGGACCAAACAAAAATTATACACCAACGGGGCACAAGGACTGCCCCCGGCCACTTGGAAATTAGAATGAGGGATGCACAGTTTAAGTCTAACCTCATTCGAGGCGCAAATTAGCAACAAGACGTAGGCTGGTTAACTTGTAAACTTCGAGTACCTTTGCGTTTCGTGGAGTCTATAAAAGCCCAACCCTCACTCCACCGTCCTGTCTTTTTCCCGTGCCGTTCTAAATCGTTTCGAAAACTGAAAACTAAAAACTGAAGCCGTTTCAGATTCGAAGAACCAAACAGCCTAAACAAACAGAGGAAGAGATTCGAGTTTCTCTTTCCTTTTTTTCTTTTCTGATTTAGCATTCGGACGAGAAGAGGAATGGCGGATTCGTACCTTTTGGGATTCATCTTTGTCTCGGTCATGACTCTGGTTGCGTTGTGGTGCGATGTCGTTTCGAGGAGACGGAAAGTGAACGGAATCGTTTCCTCGACGGGGACTGACTCCCTGAAGAGTGTACCGACCATTGACGGAGAATGCAGACCCGCTGATGGCTTTGATGCTGATGTCATCATCGTTGGTGCTGGCGTTGCTGGTGCCGCCCTCGCTCACACTCTTGGCAAGGTGTGTTTCCTTTTCTTTTCTTTTCTTTTCTTTGCACTTTCTTTGTATCCAGTGATGAACTAGTAAATGATTTCTTCATGTCACTATTTTTTTGGCTTTTGTTTTCATTTTTTAAAGTTACGCCAGCACTTTCTCGAACCTTCAGCTATACATTTTGTTCTTATTTTGCTTCTACAGATACATTTTTCTCCCTTTCATGCCGTTTGTCAAATAATTTTACAATCCCTTTTACGTCTTTTATTTCTCTCTTTTTGAATATGTTGCAACTTTTATATGCTCAGAGTTATTAAAAAGAAGGAACTAACGATCTTGTCCACCATGATTCGGGGAGTAATTTGTGAGCTTTATTATAATTATTATTATTCAGTATTTACTTGTTACCTCTTCGCTATCATATGATTGTAGGCTTCTACCGAGCTGGATTGAAGAAAATGAACCATCTGTTGCTACTAGCATTTAACAATCTACGGTCCTCGATTTCTACTTGATTAGTCACTGTCAATTTATCTATAATCTTGAACCGATAATCATCTGTGATCTCATCTTTCGGCCAAATTAACCTCCGTGCGTATTCTTTTTTTGTTGGTTGTGTTTTGATGTCCACCTTTATATGATTCCAATCTAAATCATGTAACTGTATAAATCTTTTTTCTTTATAAAAATTCACTGATATATGTACATTTAGCATCCATTTTCTTGGTTTTAACTTGCTTCATGGTTTTAAATGAGATGATTGTGTGCAACATTATGCATCATCTCTGATAATAGAGTCACTCGTATTGAAACTTATTTTTAACTTTGATCATGGGTATAAAGCACAGGATGGACGTCGAGTGCATGTGATTGAAAGGGATTTGTCGGAGCCTGACCGTATTGTTGGGGAATTGTTGCAACCAGGGGGCTATCTCAAGTTAATTGAGTTGGGACTTGAAGGTAGGTGAATATTGAAATGTGGCTATATGTAGATGTTCATGGTGTTAAAAGAGTTTGGTGTTCAATTATGAATTTGTTGATATTGTAATGGAATGAGTTCTATCAGCCTTATGTATATTCTCACTGCAGATTGTGTGGAGGAAATCGATGCTCAGCAGGTATTTGGTTATGCGATTTTCAAGGATGGGAAACATACCCGACTTTCTTATCCCTTAGAAAATTTCCACCAAGATGTATCTGGTAGGAGCTTTCACAATGGACGTTTCATACAAAGGATGCGGGAGAAAGCAGCCTCTCTTCCTAAGTATGATAATTTAGATACTTTGTTATGTTCCTCTTATTCGATGCTCAAACTCCCTTTGATGATGCTTCAATATTATGAAAATTTTGTACTGTCGATTGTAACATTATGGTGAAAAATATGTTTTGGTATTTATGCTTCCCATCTTTTACCAGTGTACGATTGGAGCAAGGGGTAGTTACTTCTCTACTTAAAGAAAAAGGGACAATCAGAGGAGTGCAGTACAAAACTAAAGATGGCCATCAATTGACCTCATTTGCACCTCTGACCATTGTTTGTGATGGCTGTTTTTCTAATTTACGTCGCTCTCTTTGCAACCCTAAGGTGAGTTCCTCCATCAACCCTTTGTTTTGAAGGTCAAGAAAAACCAGGTTTCCATATTATCTTCTTGTTATTTCTCTTTTAATGTTCTAAAATTAACATGTAATTTAATAAACTTGGAAAGCCTAATAATATAATCTGCAGGTTGAAGTACCCTCTTGTTTTGTGGGATTGGTGCTAGAGAATAGCCATCTTCCATACTCAAATCACGGGCATGTTATACTAGCAGATCCTTCCCCCATTTTGTTCTATCCTATTAGCAGCACAGAGGTTCGTTGCCTCGTTGATGTACCTGGTCAAAAGGTTCCTTCTATCGCAAATGGGGAGATGGCTAACCATCTGAAGACTGTTGTTGCTCCTCAGGTATTTGCTTTGTTTAATTTTCAGAAGTGTTCACTACTTCACAATATGCTGCATTTATGTTTTAAAGTTCTCCTGGATTTTGACAATTTGGCCACGTTTGTAACAGGTTCCACCAGAAATTTATGATTCTTTTGTAGCAGCTGTTGAAAGGGGAAACATTAGGACAATGCCGAACAGGAGCATGCCAGCTTCTCCTTATCCCACTCCTGGAGCCCTGTTAATGGGAGACGCATTCAACATGCGCCATCCATTAACAGGTGGAGGAATGACTGTAGCGTTATCTGATATCGTTGTTCTCCGTGATCTACTAAAGCCTCTGCGTGACCTCAATGATGCACCAACACTCTGCAAATACCTGGAATCGTTTTACACCTTGCGTAAGGTAAAACCATGTTGTTCAGAGATTTTCTGTGTGTTCTATGGTAGATTGAATTGAATTATGTTATGGCAGTGGAACTCATTTCTAAGGTTTTGTACAGCCGGTGGCATCCACTATCAATACATTGGCAGGTGCATTGTACAAAGTGTTCTGTGCATCACCTGATCAAGCGAGGAAGGAAATGCGTCAGGCTTGCTTCGATTACCTAAGCCTTGGGGGTGGATTTTCAGCGGGCCCTATATCTTTGCTCTCAGGTTTGAACCCCCGCCCTTTGAGCTTGGTTCTGCATTTCTTTGCGGTGGCGATATACGGAGTTGGTCGTTTACTGTTGCCGTTTCCCTCACCTAAGCGAATCTGGATCGGTGCTAGACTGATCTCGGTATGGTTTCATTTTTCTTCCTTTTGCAATACTTCAACATTATAAACATTCCAACTTTGACTTAAGTATACTCAGATTATCTTGAATCTAAATCCGGTCTAATCTGAACTCGAAAATGACCAGAACTCAAAATCCCTTTAATTTTAAAAATGATCCGAACCGAATATAATCTAACAAATAATTTGATATCCTAAACCTAAAATGCAAAATGATATAACATTTAACAATCTGAAAGCGACACTACATACCAAACTCCAAAATAATTCAACTTGCTCACCCAATCGTCAATATAATATTTACGATTTGTTTGACTCTGAATATTAACATTAAGTTTTAATTTAATTGCAGGGAGCATCAGGAATCATATTCCCTATTATAAAGGCAGAGGGAGTTAGACAAATGTTCTTCCCGGCGACAGTTCCTGCATATTACAGAAGAGCCCCACCTGTTAAATGAGATCCAGATTTGAAAGGAATTATAGCAAAGGATTTAGCATTTTCGTTTAGACAATTGTTTGTAAATCTCATTTGTGTTCTTCCTTGTCAATGTCTTGATTAAAAACAATATAAAACCACCTCAAGGATTTCACCTTCTGCTTCCCATTTGCCGTATAAGAAAATTCATTACTTTTCATTACATGAACAGAGGAATCTGAATTAAGTATAGCGTCATGCCAAGTAATAAAATACAATACAAACCCCTCTTCTGCATCATTCAGTCACTGTAGGGAAAAAATTATTATTCATCTCTCAGAAGTGTAAACTCTGTTAAAACTCCAAAGCAAGAAACTGATTTGCAATGTGCTGAGCCTGAACTCCGATCCAACAGCAGAGATGGAAGTATAAGGTTTTAAATATTCTGCATTCCCATTGTTGGTACTTCACAGCCTCAACTCCTGTGGAATTATAGCTACGTTTTCGGTTTTCATGCCTTCATGTTCTTCCTTTCTTGCTTTATGGCCTCGTATGAGGTCATTACCTCTTTAAATTTTGCCTCCGCGACTTCTGAAATATACAACACACGCAATGAACTTTCAAAAAACAATCCAAAGTAATGCTGTTAGGAGGGTTAAGTTTAGGGGTTTGTAGTAATAACTGCTCAACACATCTAACCTTTATTATCCTTGTTCTGATCTGGGTGGAACTCTTTTGCTTTGGACCTGAATGCTGTCTGCATACAGATATCATAGTCATTTATCATCATAAGCCGGGCATGAAATCCAGTAACTATAAGAAACCATAAAAACTGCAGTTCATTTTACTTTTGTTCTTTGATTGATACATCAAGCTATATAAAACTTAGCATAAAGCGCAGAGCAACTATGATCAAGTAATAACGACGGAGATCAGAACAAATTGCATTAACTAACACTAGAATGGATAGTATTAGAACAATGGTTTTCATTAGTTTTCCACCTACTGAAATATGATACATGTTGACCAGATGAGGTTCCATTCACAATGTAATATATCAGAGGAACACAAACTTAGACACTCTGACTTCCTAGTCTGATAAAATGGCAATTTGATGAGCATTAGCATAAACTAGCGAACAGTCTAATTGAGAAGACTAAGGTATCAATTAGCTAGGACAAGCAAAAGATTAATTTCATTAATCGGTTATCTAATATCGGAATAAAAATATACCAAATCAACTTTTGATCAAGAAAATGATAAACAAATGTAACTCAACAACGGCAGTGATATAGAAGCATTTAAAAGATAATTCAGCATACCTTAATCTCATCTTCTGTATATGGTTTCATTCTGGCCCTGAGTAGAAAAGTAGAAGTGTCAATTTTCAGTGTTGAAGCTATTGGCTATGCCAACATGAATAGGGTGGAAAAGAATTTATTACCCCTATGTAATAGCAGCATTACCTGTCAAGACCTAAAACAGTGTAGTGATGTGATAATGGATAGCGTGCATTATCTCTTTGAGGTGGCATATAATTGGTTCTTTGATCTTTGTAAGATGCATCTGTCTTCCAATACCAATCGTCTCGCTGGAAGTGCTGATGGTAAGCACCAGGACCATTTTCATTCCAGCTCTCATAGCTCCTTTTGTTTTTATTTCGCTCCCTGTTAAACACACTTTGCATGCGCCTTATTCTCTCCTACAAAGAGAAGAAAGAATTAATTAACAATATGATGATATCAAACTGGTCTACCAAAGAGGATATCAATATGAGCAGGGCTGCATCTGGGGGTGGGTGGTTCCAGTCCCCACCCAAATTTTAAAATTGATAGCGAATGTAAATATTAAGAATATTACTTAGTCCTAAAACAGAGTGATGTAACTGGAGTTAAAAGAAGATAATTGCACATAAGAATTACTGTCCACTCATCTTACATTCTCTCTATATCAATGTACCAAATCACAAATGATTTCAGAAAAATACCATTACAGATAACTTCCATAACTGATAAGATGGCGATGAAATTGCCGCACGAAGCTGGGTAAATCTTCCAGAGATTCAACAATACACTACAAGTTTTCACCATCATTAAATACTAATATTACAACTAGTCATTATCATATGTTACTGGAAATAACAATTCACAATTTAAAACATCCGAAACTTACACTTTGTAAAACATGTTGGAAGACCGTAGTTAGTAATAAGAAAGTAAAATATAAAGAATGCTCACATAAATCACAAGCTTACCACTCTTTCCATTTCTTCCTCATGCTCTTCTTGTATTCGGCGATTATACCTTCTCCATGCTTCCTCCTGAAAGGATGTTCGGAAAGAACCTCCTCCACGTGATGATTTTGACCTGACTAACTTTCATGGTGCAAGTACACACATGATCAGATTGTAGAATTACATAAAAGAGAAAGAAGAAATGCTATAGTAAAATGTAAGATATAAGCAAAAGTAATAAATATATACAAAATTCAACAAGGCAACATTGGACACAACACAGCACAGCCATATCCTTGAATATTGAAATATTAGCACATTAAGGCAGGTTCTCAAGGTAGCAAAGCAATAATTTTGATATAAAAAAGATCCATCAAATGAATCTTCTTCTTGAAATATAATCTTAACTTAGGACAAATGTCTATCTTCCTATTAAAACAATATGCTTTCAGAAAAACAACCTAAGCCCTTGTTTAAATTTAAAACTGAAAATTTATAAGAAAAAAAATCCTTCCAACATTCCTTTTTAAGAAAACAATGAAGATAGATATTGATGATTAACCATAGAAGGGAATAATTTCCTCCAACCATTCCAAATTTCAACTACAGTATTATGGAATTATTGAGAGCTGAATCGGTGAAAGAACTTGTTTTTAGTCTACCCAAGTATATATCCAATCAACAGACCTCCCAGCTGACTAACCTACCAGATTGTAACTACAAAGGGCAATTCTAACACAAAGCTGCTCCCACCAAAACGAATTTATTAATATAATTTGTTATAATTCTTCCTCAGAGGGGGAAAAAAAACTAACCTTCGTTCTAATTTTTCTAATGGCCCAAAAGTCAAATTAAAGAGAAAAGAAACCCTAACAGTTCAGCATACAGTAATAGATAAAACACTCAACCCAAAAAATCAAAATAAGGAAAAAAATTCAAACTTCAAAAATGGCGAAGGTGAATGGAAACACTTACCGCGAAAATGGTTGCAGTGGCGCCAATTAAACCGAAGAGGAAAATTCCCCAAAGGCTGGGGTCTTCATCTTTCGCTTTATAATCCCTGCTCGGAGACGACCATTGCTTACTCTTATCCCCATCAGCACCATCGCCTTCCATTTCTCTTGGTTCCCCAAATTTCGCCAATTAAAGATTTGTCAACAATCTCTTTGCTGCAATTCAGTTTCAATTCCAAACCCTAATCGCATGGAAAGGTTTATTCTTCACTTCAAGATTGTCTCTCTTTTCTTTCAATTTTAATAATATTTAGGAAGAAAATGAAATCTGTTTTATTTTCTTTCACTGCCTTTGAATTTGGTTCTCCCTTAATATTTGAATTTTCCAGTAACTAAAGAGTTCGTGGTAAATATAACCTCCGGTACCGAATTATGACATTTATGTTAAATGAGTTTAATAAAACAAAAATGTTATTTTTACGGTAAGTAGTCTGTTTAAATGTAACTCTTAATTTTTTTAAATTGAACCTTCGTATCCTGGTATTTTGGTGTTCGAACCCAGGACCTTAAGAAATAATAACAATTCATTTACCACTGAAATCATTGGAGTTCGTGCAATTAAATATTTTTTTTATCCAATTAAATATTTTTTAAAATTTTTATATAATTAAATATCTAATACTTTTTTAAAAAATATATAATATTTTTCAAAATATTTTTAATATCGAACTTTTAAATCTATAACACACGACTATATTAAAATTAAAGTATAAACTAATCATAATAAAAATGCGTAATAAAAAATATTATATATCTAACTATATAAAAGAAAGGAAACTTAAATACAATTAATCCAAACATAAATAAAGACCTGACTACACAAAGTTTAAGTTATACATATATACTAATAATTAGAGTCTCAATTAGAATTTTATTAGTGTAAATAAGAATAAATTAAGGTGGAGAGATTATGTGTATAATGATTGTTTGCGGTATCTAATTCAAATTAATTAATGAAGGAATCATAGATTGATGGTTATACTAGAAAGAAAATACTTACTAGATTTAGAATCATGAACTACCGAATATCAATTTAATTAAAAATTACTAAATTAGTTCTATTTTCAGTTGTGATTAATATTATTACTATTATTTTAAAGATGGCTTCATAAAAAATTATTATAAATTTAATGCTCAAATAATTATTTTTATATTAATGATCCTAAAAATCATTTTTATACATGGATTCTTAAGAAAACAGGTGAAATTAGAATAAGAACAAAAGCAATTTTTATTTTCTTAAGTTGGGTATAGTAGGTGAAGATTTTACTGACTCGGAGTTTGACACGTGTATTTTTATTATAAATATATTTCCTTTTTCCTTTTGGAATTTAAAAGCGAGTATTTGACCGAGTCGAATAAAAATAATTTTGAGTTAAGCAATTCCTATTTTATGATTCAAACTTTATTTAGAAAAAATTCGAGTCGAGTTGTTCAATTTCTTTTTAAATTTAATTATAATGATTTATAATAATATGATACAAATTGGTTTTAATTTAAACGATTTTCTCTAATCATATAAAATATACATATATATTTCTTCATATTGTTTTTACGTGTGCAAGAAAGATTTGTAATGTTATTTAATAAATCAAATATAATCTAAATTATAATAATGTTATATTTTTAAAGAATGTATTTGAGATTAAAGTGTTGATGAAAATATAAAGGAGTCAAAGAACCGATGAGAAGAAAGAATTATAAAAGATTACAATCGAAAGACCAAATTGAATAAAATACAAAGTAGAGAGACTAAATTGAGAAAAAGGAAATTTGTTGTTAAAAATAGAAATTTAAGTCGCATAATTATTCTGCAGGGGACGTAGGTATGACAAAAAAAAATAAACCAATTTGCATAGACACTAATTTTAGTAGGTCAACATTAACCTTCCCTTTAATTTCTTACAACATTTCCAAGCTTTGAATGGTCAATCTTCCCTTTGGACAATCTTGTTCCTCATTTCACTCCCAACGGCTCATCAAACCCACTTTCTTACAAGCACAATTTTATACGCATGACGCATCAAACAAACTGAAAAAGAAGTTGTTTTACATTTTTCACATCAACCCCTTATTACAAAAGCATAAACACGAGAGGTGTAGAAATTTACATTTAGATTTATGGGCAGCTTGACTGATTTGCATTTGGTTATTCAACAATGTAAATGTTAAATACTTTGAGAAGAGAACTGGGGCATATGTTAGTCTCTTTTAACTAGATCAACAACACTCTAGTCCAACCCATTTTATCTTCTGTGAGACCCATCTGTGTATTTGTAAGTGCTGAGTAGAGCTGCTGAGACACCACAAATCTACTCTCTCCATAGTCCACCCTGCAATAACTCGATTGAGCAGCGCGAAAATCATAAGACTCCTTGTGGTTCTCTCTGAAAAAATTTCAGCATGATATTGAAGCTCAAGAAAGACCCTTGCCACTACTTTGCACAAAGGTTGCTTGCTTATGTACCATCCTTGATTTGCTTTCTTAAGAACATTGATAACAAGTTAAGGGAATCAAAACAAGAAAATGCACCTTCTTTCCATCAAAGTAATGCTGTCAACAGGCATTACACAAACGGCATTCCCAGTACAAAAGGCTTCGTCAGCATCAAACAATTCCTCAACCGACACAAGTCGCTCCTCAACCTGTTTTAAAGTGTTTATAAATACAAAGGACCTAGATCAGATTTATACAATGTAAGTGGTGCAGATAAACAATGTCCAAACTATCTATTCCATATATGATATGAAAGAATGAGCAAATTATCAATTTCTTTTAAATTCAAAAAAAATATTTTTGAAAGAGAATAGAACTGAGAAATGACAAAATGTCGAACCCTCTTACCATATAAATTAGAAAGGATATCAAACATGTTCAGTAAACGCTAGATTAGAGACAATGCCACTTCAAACTGCATACCTTGAAACCCTGGCTTTGAGCAATCTCAATAATACTTTTTCTTGTAATTCCGGGAAGAATTGTTCCTCGTAGAGCAGGAGTGCATATTGTATTATCCTGCAATACAGAATAAAAAGGTACGATATACATACATATATGTATTAGGGGAATTATTGAATTGTTTGATGCTTCAGCACAATATGGGAGATAATTTATAGAAGATGCATAATAATCCATCTGCAGAAACTATTTGTACCTCATTACTTCTCATAACAAGATGTTTCGCCATTTTAAGTCATAAATCATAAATATTTGGAAGTTTAAGACAGGTTGTGTTAAAATATGAAGTTTTCTACCGAAGGGTACTCAATACATTCCTGACAGAAATAAGACTACAGACCATTTTCTAGTTTCTACATCACAGATTGGGAAGTTTTTGTCTGACCATTAAGAAATGGATGCATGATTCCGAATTTCTAACCAGATGAATCAATGCCGCTTCCACACTTGAAACATCTCCAGCCTTTCACATTCAACTAATAGCGTTTATCTTTAATGTCTATACTTTTTTAGTCATAAAATATCTATATATTCATGGTCTAAATGTATGGTATGCCTAAGAAATTGGCTATCAAACATCCATTATGCCAAAACACTGTCATACCTTTACAACAAAAACATTAGCGGTAGAGACCTCTTCAAGATATCTGTTGTGAACAGAGTCAAGATACAGAACATCAGAAAAACCATTAGCTTTGGCTTCAGTCTGTGCCTTCATAATCTGTGGAAAAGAAGTTATAGTTTGAATGTAAATATACTAAAAGAAGGTTAAATTACCACAGAAAGGCATGGATTAGAAACAAAATATTTTATCAATGGTCTCATTTATCATATGCCAAGGATGTAGGAAACAGCAGTAGTCTGGAACTATCTTTCAACAAATTTTGCATGCTAGAAATACTTCCCCAGAGAAAATTTAAAACCCAAATGCATATGAACCGCAGTGAAATTCCATAGATCGAACTTATGACAACGATATTAGTTGGTATATTGTGCAATAAGGTTTTGGACTTAAAAATATTCACCTTAACGGAGAGTTTCAGTAAATTGAAATGTGAAAGATTTTAATGACTTCTGCATTTAAAGCCTATTGATCAATAACAAAGAATATTATCATTTTTTGGGACACGAATGTGTGGCTAAAAAATAGCATATTGCCTATGGTTTTAGTGCTATAATACTAGAGAAAAGGGAAGAATCACATATCCTCATCAACTTCTAAATAAATGTCTATTACAGGTTGCATTATTAGAAAAATGCATAGAAAGCCATGGAGCATAACTTCGAAAAGGAAATATAAAAAAAAAAATTGCTTTCTAATTGACCAAGAAGTGTTGCGTCTGAACTGGATTACCCCAGCATAGTTCCCTATAGCTTTTATGCCTCCAACTCCTCCAGGGGTTGCACGATGTATTACATTTTCAACTACCAGATTAATTGGTTTCCAACCACCCTGTCATCACAATAATCATATAGTCAATGGTAGGAGCTGTGGTACCTGCTATGTCTGTTTAGAAGGAAATCGAGATGCTTAAAGCTTTGTGAAAACAAAAGCTAAAATGGGGATTAAATACTTTCACAAGTTCTAGACAAATTACACATGAAAATTACAAGGAACTGCTCTGTACTTGGAGGTAGACAAGACCTTTCATCCTACTAAGCTACTTGAATTTGATATCCTGCATGCAGAATAGGAAATCAAGTAACACCATACCTCAAAATAATTCCCAACTGGTGTAACATAGATCAAAAAGGTGAATTCAGGTGCCGGTGTGACACTAAGAACAGGTCCATTCCCAAAAAGTAGAGGTCGAATGTGTAAAGAGCCTTTATCCGAAGGAGGGACCTGCAGCACGACATATAACCTGTGAGGGTAAAGATAAAATACAAATAGCAAGCTGACTCTTTTTCTAAAGAACCAATAAAAGTGTCCAATTACCCAGCGTTCATTCGCCAATACGGTAGTTGTTACAGCTTCCAAAAACTGTTCAATAGTTGGTGCAGGCATGCACATTCGCTCTGCACCTACCTGCATCCGCAATGCATTTTCCTCGGGACGAAAAAGTATAATAGATCCATTTTGTTTCCTGTAAGCTTTCAGACCCTCAATAATCCCCTAGATGAGAAAAAAAGGTATCATTAATAGAACAATTAGAGACTTCAGAGGCAGAGCCTTGACATAAAATTTACCCAAAAAAAGGGGGGCTTCAAGTAAATAACCTGCCCGTAGTTCAAGACAGCAGCCGATGGAATTAATGCAATATTCCCATAATGTCTTAAGCTGCCATTCGAAAAGCTCCCGTCTTCAGAACTTTTCATAACATAAACATAGTCCGTTTTCACAGGATTGAATCCAAGGCTATCCCATCTTCTCTCAAGTGATTCAGATGTTTCACTATTTGTTTTTAAAAGAAACTCATCAAAAAGCCATTTCAGACGTGAATTACATGATACCAAAACACAACAAGAAACGTAAAAATAACTGGGAGGTAGTTAAAAATTTAGACTTTACCAAAACTTAGGGCTTACACAACAAGTACCAGTTTTCGATCAATGAAAAAGACTCGTTTTATTCTAAGTAAATGCTTTATTACTAAGTTGTATAGGTCATTTCAAGGAAATGGAACCACCAAAATCAAACAGCATAATTGAAATGAAAAAGATTCATTTTTATTACTTATGAGCATCCGATGCAGTCGCTCGGCGCCATGAAGAAGAGGAAGACAAAGAAACAAGTGAAGATTTAGAAGCCAATTGAGGCTGACGGTGAACCTGCAAAGAATCAAACAGTTTGTTTAAGGAAACTGATCGATTGAATTGATTTGTGTGTGTGTTAAATCGGTAAATAAAAGAAATGGGTACCGTAAAAGAAGGGAATTGGAAGATTGTAGCGTCCGGAAACCTCAGTTGAACACTAAACATTTCTGTTTCTGGATTTTGTTTTCGTATGCTGGGGGATATTGAGAAGTTTCAGGGTTTGATCGTGAAGTAATTGTGCAAGTATTTTGACCATGAAGGTTGTTGTTCCACCTGGACAACTTTAGATTTGACACAATCGCAAAGGTTTCGTAAGGTTTAATACGTATATATATATATATATATTTCTTTGTTAGTAAAAGAAAAAATCAGATTTTTGGCGGAAAAAAAAGCTTCTATTTCATTGTATAAAACATTCTGGGGAAAAAACCATATTTCATTGAGCATCCCCTTCCTGGAAAAGTCGGAAGAATCAAAACTTTCTCCATAATTTCCTCCGAATATGGAGAGCCATCAATATGCATTAACAACAGAAAGATGATCGTTTACCGTCTTGGGATGGTTTATAGCACGTTGAGGCTAGAAATTACTTCAGATTTCAGGCCCTTCAAGATTTGAAGGTGACCAAGCTCAAACTGTGTTCCTCGTCTTCTTTCGTGCCTCACAAATGAACTAGAACCGTTGAAATTACCCCCTCTTGATTCTGATTCCAATCCCAAAGTTACATCGGCTCACTCATGGTTGATCGATTCTAATAAAAACAATTTGAGTTATTTTAATTGATTATATTTTATAATTTGAATGTTACTTATAATTTTTTTGAGTTAATTTTTTAATTTTTGTTTAAATTTAATATAAATATTTATAATTATTTGATTTCAATTTAATATATATATATATATATATATATATATTTCACCATATTTTATTTTTCATATTTGATATACATATTTCATACAAAGTCGAGGGATTGAAATTAAACTTGAAAATTAATCAACTAATTATTAAAATTTTTGAGTTACTATTCGAGTTATTCAAGTTGTATTTTATAACTCGATTTAAACTTGAAAGTTTTTTAAGACGAGTCGAGTTTATCAAATTACAACTCAAAGACAATTCGAGTTAAAAAATCAATTTTTCAAACTGAATCGAGTTTTATTTGCCCCTTATTCATGGTGTAAATTATGAGTGTCTTTATCGTATACGTATAAATTACTCTTATCAAATTAAATATTTGCAAACTATCTATTTACTCTTAATGAGATAAAAAAATTCTAAACATATATTACATTATAATTATCTCAAATTATTTGAAAAAATTATCAAAATTATAAACTTATATTTTTATCAAAAATATTTAAATTATTTATTTAATTATAAGTAATTTAAATTTTATATTCTATTATAAATTTAAAATTTTAAAATAAAATAATATTAATTTTATAAAAATATATAAATATTATTTATTTATTTTCTATTTTCAAATGAAATTAAAAATAATTTAGTATCTAATTTAATACTAATATAAATTAAACATCAACGTTGATAAAATATTAATAAATTTTAAATTTAATTTAATGACCAAACCTTATGACATTTATGTCAAAGATCCTAAGTTTAAATCTCATAATCAACAAAAATCATTTGTTTTATGATAGTAATATAATATAACTTAAATAATAATTTTGGTGAAATAATAATTGTTAACTATATTTTGATATAACAATCAAGGCAAAATGTTTTTGGACTTGAATTTAATCTATACAAAGCTTTCAAAGTTTTTCAAAAATAATTCAAAGTCCTTAAAGCTTGGAATTGAGCACAAAACGTTTTTCTGGACAAGTAGTATCGATATTGTTCTTATAATATCGATACCTAATGAACAGTACCGATATTGTTCTTATGGTACTGATACCAAAGGTAATGAAAGTATTGATACTCACTAGGTAGTACTGATACTACCAACATTGCTCAAATTCCAAAATGCGAAAATGGTACCGCTACCCAAATGGGTACTGATACTACTTTGTATAGTAGTATCGATACCATTGCCATAGTATCGATACCATCATGCCACAACGGCTAGTAACGGCTAGTTGATTTAAATATAAACAACGGTAGTACTGATACTCCCTTTAGGAGTATCGATAACCCTTGTTCTAAGCAGCTTTATTTTGCACGAAAATGGATCCCCAACGGCTCCAAACCACCTTCAACGACTAGAAACGGCCACAACAACATTCCAACATATAAATACAAGTTGAGGACACTTGAAGAAGGGTTAAAACACCTATCCAAGCAATCAAACACAAGAGAAAAGTTTTTCAATCTTATTTTTTATCTCTCTTGTAAATATTTGTTCTTGTGAGCTAAATTTTGTAAACACCTTCCTTTTTAGAGGCTTTATTTCTTTACATTCTTTTTCCTTGTAAATGGTTTTTGGTTCTATCTTAGCCAATTCAAAAGACAATGAGTTGTAAAGGTTATCTCTTTATCATTGAAAAAGAAAGAAAAAATTAGTGAATTTGTTAGAAAATCCTTAGTGGGGAGCTAAGGTATTGGATGTAGACTTGGTTGATGAGTTGAACCACTATAAATCCTTGTGCCAAAATTTTTATCTTTTGCTCTCCTTACTTCCTAATCAAATTATTATCAAATAACCCCCTTTGTACTTTTTCTGTTATTCAATTTAGCCTATTCAAATCCCAACAATTGATATTAGAGCTTGACTCACTAAAATATTTAACAACCTTGAGACGTTCCTCGAAGAAGCTCTACCAATTCCAGACGCAACTGAAAAACAAATGGCTTCAACCTTCAGTGCCTAGTACATTGAAGATTCACAAACGATCAACAAGCCACCCTACTTCAATGGAGAAAATTATGCATATTGGAAGAATATGATGATACTCTTCATTCAAGCCAACGATCTAGGAGCTGGAACTCTATCATGAAATGCTACATCATTCCAACCAGCGAGATGGACGATTGGAGTGATAGAGAGAAGAATAAGTTTCAACTCAATGCTAAGGCTATGCACATTCTCTTTTGTGCATTAGGCTCGGATGAATATGGAAGAGTCTCTTCTTGTTCCAATGCCAAGGAGATATGGGATAAGCTTCAAGTCACTCATGAAGGAACTGATGAAGTGAGGGAAACCAAGATAAGTCTTCTCAACCATAGCTACGAGAATTTCAATATGAAACCCGATGAAGACATCAAAGCTATGACAAATAGATTTTCCTTGATTGTCAATGGTATTAAGGGATTTAGAGAAGTAATCCCTAATGAGAAGCTTGTAAGGAAGATGATCTACTCTCTTCCAAAGTCTTGGCAATCGAAGAAGACGACAATTATCAAAGCTAGAAACCTAAAGTTTCTCACTCTCGACGAGTTGATTGGTTATATTCTCACTCATGAGTTGATGGTAAATGAAGAGGAAGAAGATGAAGAGAAGCAAAACAAGAAGAATAATGAGGTAGGTATTGCCTTCAACTCCACCAATGAGAGCTGTCAAGATTCAAGTGAAGTTGTGGATGAAGACGATGGTGAAGAAGAAGAGATGGCCAAGCTCTTCAAAAAGTTCAAGAGATTCATGTCTTCCAAGGAAGTGAAGTACGAATCAACCAAGAAGAAGGGTCCCCCGGTGTGCTTCAATTGTCAAAGAACGGGACATGTCAAGTATAAATGTCCTCTCATAAATAAGAAATGATCTAACAAGAAAAAGGCATTTGTGGAGTCTTGGAGTGATGAAGATGACTCCAGTGATGAAGCTGACTCCAATTATGAAGATGAAGTAGCCAACCTATTCCTCATGGCCATCGAAGGAGATTCAATAGTATCTTCTAACTCAAATGATTTAAATTCACATTCTTTTGATGAGTTACAAGATGCTTATAATGAGTTGTATTTGGAATTTGAGACCGTGAATTCCAAATATAAGAAATTAATTTCAAAACTTAGAGTTGAAAATTATTTTATTTTGAAAGCAAAATTTGATTTTGAAAGCAAAATTTGATTTTGAAAATCAAAATGAAATTTTGAAAAATGATTTAGAAATTTCAAAAATCAAAATCAATAATTTAGAAAAAGAAAATTTTGATTTAAAAGTTAAGATTGAGAGCTTAACAAAAGAAAAAGAATTAATTTCTCAAAACAACTCATTATGTTTAAAAATGGCAAAATGCTCACATTGTCATTTCTATGGTCATATGGAACATGATTGTCCCATAAAGAAAAGAAAATCTTTTAAAATTAGACAAGTATGGTTTCCTAAGGGAACAAGGGGCATTGAAACTAACATTCAAGGATCCAAAACAATTTGGATACCAAAATTCACTTAAATGTCTCTTGTAAGTGTGTGGGACCAATGGTGATGAAAATGAAGAAATCAAGATGCTCTAACCACACTCTAAAAGGAATGCGTAACCTCTAAGCTTGAAAGTTTTTTATTTTTGCATAATTGGTTGCTCATTTGATTTTTGGCATGCATGAGTTTTGATCTTAAATGGTTATGTTTTGTTTTTCATCTCAGGTATGTTAAAAAGGTGTTATGATGAACATTTTAATTTTTTAATGATTTTTCATCATTTTTAGTTCATCATAATGAACTTTGGTCAAAATTAGTTTTAAATGCAAATGATATCTCTAACAATTGATATCAAATTTTCAAAATATTTCGATTTTAAATTTTTTTAAGTTTTTGACCTAAATTTAAATGTTTATGCATAAAATTTAAAAATACAAATGATATCTCTCTAACAATATCAAAATTTTTAAATGCATAACATTTTTAAAAGTTTTATGCATGTGCACTAAATTTCAACATTTGATATTGCATAAAGTATTTTAGACTTGGATATATTGAATTTCATGTGTTACTAATATTTTTGGTTACTCTTTGTTGAAATTCAATTTTGTTTAAGTGTCAAGCTTTTAAAGTCAATTTGTGTTTGGAATGCACTTTTTGAGGGGAGGGAGCTTTGATTTTTCAAATGCTTTTAATTTCAAATTTATCACTTACTCTCCAAAGTTATTTTAGAACTTTAAAGTTGAATTCTTTTTGATCTAACAAAAAGGGGGAGAAGTATGGGTTTGAAAAATTCAATTTCTTAATAAAAAGGGGGAGCTGAATATTTTCACATATTTTCCAACAATTGGTATCTTTTTCATTAAACATTTTATTAAGGGAGAGTTTTGCCAAAAACAATTTTTCAAATATTTTGTTATATCAAAAAAGGGGAGATTGTTTAACTATATTTTGATATAACAATTAAGGCAAAAATGTTTTTGGACTTGAATTGAATTTATTCAAAGCTTTCAAAGTTTTTCAAAAATAATTCAAATCCTTAAAGCTTTGAATTTAGCACAAAATATTTTTCTGGACAAGTAGTATCGATACTATTCTTATAGTATCGATACCTAATAAACAATATCGATATTGTTCTTATGGTACCAATACCAAAGGTAAGAGAATTATCGATACTCACTAGGTAGTACCGATACTACCAACATTGCTCAAATTCCATAATGCAAAAATGGTATCGATACCCAAAGGGGTATCGATACTACTTTGTATAGTAGTATCAATATCATTGCCATAGTATCGATACCATCAGGTCCCAACGGCTAGTTTATTTAAATATAAACAAAGGTAGTACCGATACCCCTTGTTCTGGGAAGCTTTATTTTGCACGAAAATT